TATATTTAAGTAAATATTAAATGCTCACGAATAAAAATAATAAAAATAACAAAAATAAATTACAATAAGTTATTTTTCTTATTTTTAAATCTGATTAGTTATACATCACATGGCTTTAGATACGATCGACGAGTGCGCTGCACTGGGGTGCCAAAATCAGGGGGGGGCGCGGTTGTCTGTTTATTTGTTTAAAAAGAGGGTAAAGGGCGTCGAAATAATATTTGCAATGGGCGCTGCAATGATAGAGCCGGTCCTGTTCTTATTTTATTAACTGTACTAATACAAAAAAAATATGATACAATATTATGAAATATGCTTAAATTATATCGATTTTCTACAGCCACAATTATTAAATATTCTGATTTTACTACATTTATAATTTACCATCCTACCTACCATACCTAAAATTAYGAGTTTCAACAGACGTCTGTTGTATTTCAGTTCATATAAAGTAATATTATACAGACTTAAGTCGCTCGTTGGGATCTCGCGCGAGTGACATATTATACTATGAATCCGATTGTGTATGAAACAACGGAAAAAATCTATTCAATTGCTAACMGAGTTGATTGACTGCACGCCTATACATGATTAGGCTATACAATTTTAAAATAAAAACCAATATTTTCATTTGAAACAAACAACGATTTTCCCGGTAAATGGGTCAATTTTATTTTTGAAATTATTTCAATAATATACCTGCAATGATAGACGTTATTGATTTTTAAATACTTAAAGTACATTAATACCTGAGCAATTATTTTGTGATACCAATCTTATTCTTATATATCACAATATCCCATTACGGCATTAAAGGTAAACCTATATAATTTATAGGAGAAAACATAAAACAGATAAATTTTAGTCATTGTCTATGATGTTGATTATGTTGAATTGGAAATTGGAATTCTAGTTACTTGTGAAAATTATTCCATAAGTTACCATCATATAGAAATCTTAGTCTTCGTTAAGACTTAAAAACGCCTAACCTCAATGAATTATAGGGCGAGACCGTTTTCGACCAAATTTAAAAAAGATGCCTGATTCCCTTTTCGGCCAAAACAAAAATTTATAATATAATATATGTAAAAAAAATAAAATAATTGCTGCTACATAATACATATAGTTTTTTATAAGTTGCATAAAATGTTGTAAAATAACAATACTCRTAAAAATACAATTCGCGACAAARTTATTTACAAAACGATATTAATTTTACACACACACTAAAAATTATCCCTATTATTTCATTTATTTAAATTTTGAAGGTTTTTCAAATCGAATTCAAATGTCTTGGTACTATTCAATACCAACTCATACTTTTAATAATTTGTCAAAATTACATAATTCTATAATTGCCATAATTTTACAAAACATTTTGTTTTTGGTCGTAAAGGGAATCAGTCTTTTTTAAATAAATTTGGTCGAAAAGTAAATCGGCCGAAGAGGGAAGGGTACGTTTTCGGTCGAAAACGACTATGCCCGAATTATATAGCTATAAAACAATATTCTTCGTTATAGCCATAAAGTAGTGAAAGGCTAAGAGTGTCAGATCCCCAAAAAATCCTGAATTCCCCCCCCCTCTATGCATATTTTTACTTAACCTCGTTTGTATTATTATACATAATTTATTGACTATGTTAATATACGTGTTAATTGATATGCTCTTCATTCAATAATACATTCAGCTAATAAATCATCATAACGCTCCGTTATTGAAACAGATATCTTCCCGCTCACTCCATCACATTGTGTAATTATTAACTGAAATATATATGTGCATATCGTTAAAATTTGTCGCATAAATTCATGTATAAAAATATTGATTTATACATAATATTATGTTTAACTGATTATCGCCGATATTGGGTACCTACTAATCAAAAATTTCTTATTAATATTACTTAAGCGAATAATCGTTTAAAGTATGAATAATCAGCATTTAGTGGATACCTGCACAATCCTTTGCAACGTCACTATTATTTTTAAATCTTACACAATAAGGACACCTCCCAAAAAATTTTAATGGTTATACGATTTATCTAAATTATTTTAAAATATAGAAAAAATAAAAACGAAACAAAAGTCTATCTCGATTATATCCGGTTAAGATAGAAACGACACTGATGATCGGAAATAATCATTTCCGGTATCAACGACAACTTCCGGTCGACGGCGTCTTCTCGTTGAAGCCTCACGTCCGTTCCGTCTGCAGCCTTAATCACATATACCACTCAGCTATACCGATTGCAGTAAACATATTATATTATCTTTATACAATACCTATACATTCCCGGACGTTATCGACCCACGTATTAGTGATAAAAGCCATGTATTTATTGAAATTTTAATTTTTGGAATTTTAAAGTTTACCTGAAGACATAAGAGATTTTTAAACATCCAGATTTCTTATACAATTTAAGGAATATCCTGTTGTTATACAAACTTATTTTATCCAAACAATCTACGCGCTTTTTATCGTTATTTATTTTTGAAATTTTGGATTTATATAAATAAAAATTCAAACAAGTAATATCTGAATTCTTAAACTTGGTGTATTAAGGATAACCATGACAATAGGTTCAGAAGTTCAGAAGATAGATTAAGTATGATGATCTGAAAATATTAATTATTATTATTGTTATTAGATAATCAATTGATATCCGAGTATAGTAAGTGCTAGACTCAATATTAAACTATTTTTGGTACTCGTATTTTAAAGGTAATATAGAAACTCATAATCATTATATGGGTTTTTATACTTCTTAAAAATGTGGATTGTAATATTGTAGGATGCAACGATGCAAGAGAAAATGAGTATTGAGTATGCTTAGTGAATAACAATTCAATAAWAATATATTAATACATTTATTAGGTATTCCAAGGCAGTCTTTYGAGTGATATTTAAATTTTTAATGGTGGTCTATCAAAATATTATGAATATTATTTAATATTAGTTTAATATTATGTAACACTATAAATCTCTAAACCAAATTATAATACGTTAAATATAAACTGTTGAGATTTAATGGATAATAAGCATCATTTTTACATCTTTTGGTACGAAACGTATATTTTTTTTTCAATCACAGCGAATCGTAATGGGCATACTGAAATATATTAAATATAATTAATATAATAATATAAAAATGTAATAAAAATATATTTCATTGACACGATCCTAATAGGTACTGTATCTTTGATATAGTTTTTTTTTTTTTTTATATATATATATGTATTTAAAAATCAAATCATGATTAAATTAAATTAAAGCACATGCTTTAGGTAGACCTAGGAAAGAATCCTATCCTAAATTATAGCTACAAATTACAATCTATGACGAATAGATAACATAGTTCATCTAATAAACTCATATAATGTAGGTATATATACAACTACATAATGGTCTACTTCTGATAATAATGCAAGTCGACTGCCATTTCAAGAAAGCAATCCAAAGATACAATTTATTATGTACATATAAGTAATGAGTATGTAATATGTATAAGAATAAATGTAAACATTGCGCGCATTATAAATGGCAATCATCTTCAACATCATAGTATAAACAGATAGTATAAAAACGGCCATCTAATGATTTATTTTTGTATGCATCCATGAATAAGCTGCCATTATATTTTAAATAGAATAAAAAATAAAATTTAAGTACCCGTGAAATTTAACAATAAATCGTATAATATGTATTTTAATMAATTCCATACAGGCTACAAGCGAAGAAGTATACAATTGTCTCATCTTGACATCTTCGAAGGATTAATCCATTTTAGGTATGTGAGCATAAAACTTAAAAAATTCTTATAAATATCTAAATGACAATGGACACATAGTATCAACACAAATGCACTCACATTTGTGAGTTGTAATTTTCTCCGCAGATCTAACCAAACCTTTTTAAGCTCTTATATTTGTATCATACCTGGCACAGTAAGTTAAGTAGGTAAAGAAAGTGCYAAAATAATTCATGTGTATTAATCATTGAATAATATGACTGTTGATATTAAATATCTACTATAATACTACTCGAGTACATTTTTAGAGATAAAAACTAATCAATAATAAATAGAGATTTAATTTAATTGCAATATATTTGTTTTAAGTTTTAAAATATTGCTTTATATTATATCATAATAATATAAAGTACTTTATAATAATCCTAGTTTTAGACGTATAAACTCAATAAAGGGAATAATGGGAATTTCGCTAAATTATAATCACAGAACAAAAATTAGACCCATAATATAGTAGTTCTTCTAAGTTAATAATACAAAATTGAGGGAAAGGACTAATGATTTTATTTTAATTTGTTAAAATATGTAACATACAGAATTTTATAATATATATAATAAATTTACATGTATTATGTATACTTTGTATGAATAAAAATAAACAATGTATTTTTAAATTAATCTATTTGTCCACAACATAAAATTACGAGAAAAAAATAATTACAATAATATTTCAATAACAATAATATTAAAAAATGTCATGTGATGAGATCGTGAACGAACAATCCCTGAATGATACAAAATGTTATGTACAAAAAATAAAAATAAAAATACATTTAGATCCCTAGCAGTCTTGTCGTTGTGCTTATTAACCACCGAATAAGTCTAGTAGATTATTGTAAGATTGTTCGATAGATTGTTTTCAATATCTCGACAAGACAACGAGACAAATTAATTTCAAAAAGAACAATAATAATAATAATAATAATAATAATAATAATAATGATAATAATAATAATAATAAAATAATAATAATAATAATAAAAATTGGTAGACACCATGGCCATTATGGTACATAAATAATGGGTGGGGGAGAGGAATGGTATTCGATGTCAATAATCATAATAAAAATAAAAATGTACACGAAAGCAATAAAAATATGTATATGCGTATATAAATAAAATCTGTACTTTAAACAATATACATATATATGTACACAGGGTAAAAGGGAGAATTTGTTTAAAAACATTGAAAAAAATGATTCAACATATTCGTAGGTTATAAACACAAAACATAAAAATAATAAAATAAAAATAATAATAATTGTAATCTAATGTGGTTGGTATTGGTGACGACGGTCGCCGATACTGTCGACGATGGCACCGAAACGACAAACGCAAGGTAAAATGACAATAACAACGTTATATTTACTCGCTCGGACCTCTGTGMCGATAGGTGACAGACGCACAAGGATGAAGACTTGGACACGCCCATAACTTGTTTTAAATGTAAACGGCATCAGACACTTTGTTCGGGTGACCGTTATTGTTGTTGTTATTGTTGGGCGGCGACGATATGCCTTCTGACCAGTCTGAGTTAGAATTGGGCGAGGACGAGGACCAATGCCACGGAGAATCGGGTGACGGCGTCGGGAAACTCTCGGGTGCCGCATCCGATGGGGGTGTCAGGTACTGCTGCACATGCTGCGATTGGGGAAGCTGCAGCGATTGGGGCGTCTGCTGAACGCTGCCGTAGAAATGATGGAACTGGCTGAACGGGTCCACTGCCTGCATGGTGGCATGTCGAAGCGCTTGCATGTGTGTGGGTGACGTGGGAAGCGATGGTCGTGTCTTGCCTGGCGACGGCGACATTACTACACTGTGCGGCGGCGACGGTTCCTGGAACGACGTCTGCATTCCCATCATCTGCTGATGAATGACTCGGTAGTCGGGTTGCTGCTGCTGCTGTTGTTGCTGCTGCTGCTGCTGTTGTTGTTGTTGTTGTTGCTGCTGATGCTGTTGGTGGTGCATGGCCGCACCGTAGTTGGCCATTGGTCTCTGTGACGCGGATGGCAACTGCGACAGGCATTCCTCATAGGCAGGTGGCTGTTGTGGTAAACCACCGCCACCACCGCCATATAGCCTGGACACGTCCAATGCCATCAGGTCCATGTTATTGGGACCACTGGCACACGTCACGTCTAACCCGAATGGTTTTTTGTTGCTAGGTGCCGCCGCAGAGGATGACATGGCTGAAGTTGGTGGCAGGGGAGGTGGTTTTTTGACGCTACCCTTTCGCTTCAACGAAAGGTTCGAGTCCATTGAGTCAGCAGGACTCGTCGGATTCGATGGTTTCGATCTCTTCTTGCCCTTTGTCGAGCCACYACCACTGCCTCCATTGCTCAACTTCATGCCGGGTATGTTTATGTTTGAATGGGCGGACATCATATGCTGCGAGTCTGTGAACAAACACATCCCAAGGTCAATCTCGGTCGCCGGCGTCGTCGTATTCGTCATCGTCGTCGATGTGTTCTTGGGTAGTGGCACTAAGGGTCGTGAGACTCGGTTTCGCTGCGACTTACTCATAAAGTTGTTGTTGACAGGCACCATTGTCTGGGMATTAGGGTGAGCAACGTGCGAGTCCAACAGTCTAACAATGTCGTGGTGTAACCGTTCGCTGGCCACGTCCCTAGGTAACCGTTCCATATGGTCAGCGATCTCCCGGTTCGCAAAATTATCCAGAAGCGCTTTGCATGCTTCAAAACTGCCTTCTCTGGCCGCCAGGAACAACGGAGTTTCATCCTGGATTCAAAATAAAGTATAAGWATCATTAAGAAAAAAATTTAAAAACCTATGCTCAATGGCAGCAAGATCTAAAACATATTAACCGATTGAATTCTAATAAAAATAATAATAATTTATTTTTACCTTGTCGTCTTGAGCATCTTTGTTGGCGTTGTTGGCAAGCAAAATGTTGACTGCATCTACATTGTTGACCGATGCMGCCCAATGCAACGCCGTTTTTCCACTGTTATCTGGTATGTTTATATCGGCGTCAGCATGAATCAGGTCTTCTACCATTCCTTCAATGGCCAATCTGGCTGCTAAAATTAACGGTGTCGTTCCATCGTGCATCCTCGCATTTAAATTTGTCGACCGGTTTCTCAGTAATATCTATATATAAAGTAAAAACACCATTAATCAAACTGTTTTATTTTACCTACAATAAATTTTCTTTTGTATCTAAAATTAATATAAATTAACGTACTTGGAAAGCACCCATTGCGTCAGCGGCTACAGCTGCATGCAATGGTGTCCGGCCAGTGTGGTCTTGAAAGTTAACGTCCGCACCCATATCCAACAAGCGTTTGGCTGCATCTGCTCTGGCATATCTTGCGGCTAAATGCAACGAAGTTTCACCAGTCTTATCAAGCGTAGCGTTCAACTCTGCACCCTGTGAAACTAACTCTGATATCATGTTGGTTGTAGCATCTTGTTCTCCTTCATCTTCATTATCAATGCTTGTGTCTAGTCCAGCACCACCAGCTACTGTCACATCCATCAGTCTTGTCAACCCACCAGGGAGTCTTTCATTAACTTCGGTTTCCTATGAAAAATAAATAATCCCCGTTTAGTAACATACATTTTAAATATCAAAAACTCTTATAAACTTACTCTAGATGGAGGTGTGTACATGACAGTTGCCTTATTATCGTTAGAATTTAAAGTACAGTGACTCCAAACATCATCGTAAGGGTTATCTAAAGGTTGTGATAATATTGGAGCTGGTCTATGTCGTTTTGCTGGTGGCATATCGCCCTCGGCGTCTTCGTCTGACCAAGCACCAGCACCCCTTCCCATAGTCATTACACCACTATTCATGTCCATACAGCTCAACGTCATGTTGTTCTGTTTCATCGTTCGGAGTTCTTGTCCATCAGGTACTCTTCTTTGTGTACTTGTTCTACTGCTGTTACTGCCAGTCCTTAAGAATCCTTCTGGGAACCACGTTATACCATTCGCTTTCTTGCGATGTGTAGATATCAAAACTCCAAGACTTAGGCCAACTACTAGTATCAAGAACATGCCAGTCAACACTAACGCTGTACTACTTCTAGGTTGTTCAATTGGAATTTGACTTCCGGGACCGACACCTTCTGCCCTGTAAATAGGAAACGATGTCGATAGCGCATGACTAGCKGCTGAAGCGGCCAAAAATCCAGCAGCCTAAAACAATTAATACATGTAATTAGTAAAATCTCTCTTAAAATTGATTTTTTTCTAGTTAGCTTACCCCTGTACCACTCGAGAAACATTCAACATCTCTAGTTATCTCACATTTCCTATTATCTATTTCTAAGTAAACCACGACAGCTCCAGGAGGACTTTCCGCAGGGAAGATCATTTGTTTCCCAGTCAATTCATCTTGTTTCACTCGGACTGTAGCTCGTAACTCTCGACCAACCTAAACAAATTATTTTCATGTCAAACTTGTTAAATGATTATTTTTTTTAAATAATTTTAATGATTTCACTTACCTCTCGCAAGAAAGAAGTTAAATTAGACAAAAGTTGATGATAGTCCATTCGTAAAATAAGACGCATCGCACCTTCAGCGATTTTAGGTGGTTCTCTTTCACAATCCAAACCATCCCAATTACATTCAGCATTATTACATCCATAATCACAATGTCCATTAGCATAATGACTTTGACAATATGCGTCATAGATCGGACTAAAATAAATAAAAATAGTATATTAGTATAATGTATTAATTAAACATACAAATCATYATCTTAATATAAAATACTTACTTGCAAGGCATTAGAGTTCTTTCACAATCTCTACCGTCGTACAAACATTCAGGTGTATTACACTCCACGTCACAGCGTCCATCAGCAAAAACTTGCCAGCAGTTTTTGGTTGTAGTACAATTCCTCCAAGGGTTCAATCCAAGAGAGCAATCACCACCATCRAAGTCACAGGCAGCTGTGTTACATTCTTGATGGCATCTGTTATCTTGAGACTTAGCAGCACATCCGTTAGTTACACAAGCAGCCAGCTCTCGTTCCCAATCGTAATCCTTTTTTGTCATAATGCCTTTAGATGGGAATTTTCCTAGACCTCCTTTAAACTTGGAATCATAAATATTACAATTTTTTCCTGACCAGTATGTTGGACAGAARCACGCGTAGTCCCCAAGTTTATTTTGACAAGTACCATCATGCTCGCACGGATTACTTTCACATTCATTGTAACTATCGACTTCACAGTGAATACCTGCCGTGCCTGGAGGACATTCACATTGATATCCTCCATGTTCTAGTGAGTGACATACACCATCGCCCTGGCAAGGACTTGAGTCACAATCTACACCAAAGAATTCACAATTCCTTCCAGAAAACTCTTTTGGACATACGCACGTATGACCGCCTTCCACTTGAGAACATACACCACCATTTTGGCATGGACTGCTCTCGCAGAAGTTAACTTTAGTTTCACAATGTCTTCCCATATATCCAGCACGACAGTTGCAGTGGAAATTGTTAACTAATTGAACGCAGTCCAATGTTCCATATGGATCGCAAGGGTTTGATAAACATTCATTTATGTCTCCTTCACATCTGTGACCGACAAATCCAGCTGGGCAACGACAATCAAATCCTCCAACTCGATCAATACAAGTACCGTTATTATGACAAGCTTCAGGTGAACAGTCATCAATGTTTATGTCACAAATAATACCCAGTGTACCTGGTGGACATGAACAACTAAAGCTATTGATTAAATCACGACATGTTCCACCGTTTTGACATGGGTTGGGATGACAGTCGTCGACRTTGAGTTCGCAATTTTGGCCCTGGAAGCCACGTGGACACTGGCAAGMGTATCCCGCAACTAAATCTCTACACGTTGCTCCATTTTGGCAAGGTGCTGAATCACATTCATTGATTTCTTTCGTACAATAGCTACCGGAATAACCATCGGCGCAATGGCACCTATGACTATTGCCAATGTCTTCACAAACACCACCATTATGACATAGAGCATCCCGTCGAACACCTTTACGCAAAGATGCATCGTTACAGGACACCATCTCTACGTCACATACTTTGCCCGTCCAACCAGGTTGGCAAACGCACTGGTATAAGTTCTGAATTTGTTTACATGTTGCTCCATTTTCACAGGGCTGTGGTATGCCTCCACCACCACTGCACCAGTCTACCAACGATTCGCAGTTTTTACCCGTATAACCATACGCACAATGACATGTATAATACTTTCCATGATCGAGACATGTGCCGCTATTCTCGCAAGGTGACGAATCACATTCATTTATTCTAGTTTGACAATTTAATCCAGTATACCTACATAAGACAAGMGAAATTGTTATTATAAATTGAAAAATATATATGCAAGTATATAGCAATAAAATAATAATTTTACTCACCCTGTCGGACATATACAAGTGTAGTTATTAATACCATCGACGCAAGTGGCACCATTCATACAGGATGAATCAGTACAATCCTGATCGTTAGTTAGACAGTGCATGCCAGAAAATCCAACAGGACACGTGCAAGTATACGAATTCACATATTGTTTACAAGTGGCTCCATTCAAACAAGGTTGAGATAGACATTCATCGATGTCTACTTCGCAGTGACGACCAGAAAACCCGTCGGAACACATACAAGTATAATCGCCAATACCATCCAGACATGTAGCTCCGTTTTGGCAAGGTGCTWAAATCAAAAATTAGTTATGATTAGAAAAATAAAACTTGGTACATCTAGGTAAAAACTTTAAAAATAGTAAATAAACTCACAAGAAGCGCATTCGTCGGTGTTAATTACACAATCACGACCCTGAAATCCAGGAGCACAGGCGCATTTATACGATCCGTCAGTGTTCTGACAAGTGGCACCGTTGCGACAAGGTGCAGTTAATGCACACTCGTCTACGTCTTCGTTACACAAACGRCCTTTCCATCCAATAGAACATTCACACGAAAAATCTAAAAAGTTGCTAGAAGGCGAACATTTAGCACCGTTGCGACACCTGTTCGGCGTACATGGGTCCAATCTGCTCTGGCACTCTGAGCCAGTGAATGGTAGTTGACAGACACACTTGTAAGCGTTCACCAAGTCGATGCATGACCCTCCGTTTTTGCAAGGATTAATGGCACAGTCGTCGATGTTTACGTCACAGTTATGACCAGAATACCCAGGCTTACATTGGCACGTGTAACCATTTACGCGGTCTGTGCACACTCCACCGTGTTGACATGGGTTCGAACTGCACTCGTCGATATCAATGTCACAACGTTTGCCAGTGTAACCTGGCCTGCAGTGGCATATAAACTGGTTGAGGCCGTCCTCACAGCGCAATGCATTCAGGGAACACGGGTTGCTGGCACATTCRTCGATATCGGACAAACACCGAGGCCCATAGTAACCACGAGGACACTCGCAACGCCAACCAGCAACCAGATCCACGCAAGTGCCACCGTTGGCGCAAGGACTGCTAGCACATTCGTCCACGTTCATCTCGCARTGCAAACCAGTGAAGCCAGGCAGACAGTCACAAGAATACCTGTATGGAAATAAATAAGGTTAGTATGAGCAGTACATATAAAAGCGTTGGATGGCAAAAATTATATAAGATGATCATACTTATTGATTCCGTCGATGCACTTCGCTCCGTTCCGACAGGGGTTAGACACGCACTCATTTATGTTGACCTCGCAGTTCGGGCCGGATGTGCCGGCTCGGCAACGACACTGGTAACCATTGATTAGGTCTTCACACGTACCACCGTGTTGGCAAGGAGCGGACGCACACTCATCCAGTTGGTCCTGGCACAGAAGTCCCGTGTAACCCGGATGACAGGAGCACGTGAACGAGTTCTGGCCGTCGATGCATTCACCATGCTTGCACGGGTTCGACAGGCAGTCGTTKATGTTATTTTCGCAGTTGAAACCCGTGAAGCCCGGYGAACATTCGCACTGGTAACCAGCTATCGAGTCATGACATATGCCACCGTGCTTGCAAGGGCTGCTCACGCAGTCATCGATGTTGATCTGGCAACGCGGCCCGGAAAACCCTGCCGGACACGAGCATTTGTACCCATTGATCATATCCGTGCAAACACCGCCGTTCTCGCACGGGTTCGTTTCACACTCGTCCACGTCAACCTCACATTGCGTGCCGGTAAACCCTGTGTAAAAYCACCGTCGTTATTAGTGATATAGTTATAATGTTATATTATTACACCTAAAACAATGCTATATGGTATTGCGTGCGTCATTTCAGGTACGTACTAGATATCTATTTTATCATGGGAAATACGGCTGAAATAAAAAGTTACAGCAAATGTGCGTTCCAGATTACAGATGCAGGTCACACATCGCGTCGTACATACTATTATATCATATCATACGGCATAGAGAGAGCGCGTATAACAGGTGTGTGTGTGGGAAATGAATAATTCCAAGGAATCGACAGGATCCAGTTCCACGTTTGGTAATTAAAGGTTGACGGTCTGGTTTTTAATCGCGCGGGAACGAAATYAATTATCCGACGCAGAACTGTCGCTCGACAGACCATCTGTCTCCAGGTTTGGTCGACAAGGACTATTTGTTACGCGCACGTCCACGGAGAGACCTCAGTCCGGTTTTGGTACACAAGAACAATACCAAATCCAATAAAGACCAGCAAATTATTACAACGTTTTCCTTCGATTCGAACGTTATTCAATACGACAAATGAAGAAAATTACAAAGCTGTCTGCTGGTGACAACAGAAGTTTTATTTACTGTATTATTTTTTACCCGACTATTAAATGCARTATGATAAGATTATTCACACGCGAAATATTCAATCACATAATAAGTAGTGTTTATAGTTGTACGTTTTTTTTATGATTATTTTTCATCAGACGACAATTAAATTTTATTTAACATAGTTTTGGTATAAAGCCAGTGTTAATGAAGACATTACCTAATAAAAAAGTATTTAATTATAAAACCTACAAAAAATATTTATAATACAAAAATTAACTTTCAGTTTTAAATTCAAAATAAAAAAAATAATCCCACGGTAATTGTGTCGTATATTATAAAGCATAATTTTATTTCACTCATATTGAATTAATACCATGTTTTTATGAAATATTTATGTTACGATTCTATGATTAAGATTTGAACAGAATGGAAAAATCTAATTGAAACCCGATAGATTGGTTATTGCATTATACATATTATATGTATGAGGATAATTAAATATTTGAATGCCTCGTGTTTAGATTACCTACCTGAAATTCAATACCACAGTTTTTATGAAATAGTAACTTGTTTATAGTTTAGAAATCAAATCATAAATACATTTACATCGTAATCTTTAATTACATTCAACGTCAAAAGCACATAATAACATTTATTGTATTTTGTGATTCTGTATGCACTTATTTTACTAATAATTATGACGTGCATGATGGGTGTGTGAATTATTGTTTCGCATTTCAAGTAAACACAGCCGATGTTAATATTTATAAAACCTAACTCTGCAACCATATGTAATGAAAATATATTTTTTTCCTTTCCGTCTCACTTGCGTTACTAAAAAAATGATTTAGAGAGGAAACTGTCTTTGCACTATACCGAACTAAAGCCCGATGCCATCTGTTCGTTTAATGGGTTCAATTTGAAACTGGGTTATGTACATTTTTTTTAACGGTAGTGTAAAAGTGTTAAAAAAATATAAGGATGTAATCCTTCTACACATTTGGCTAAATATAAAACAATGTGGGAACAAAATATAATAACTAGTCCTACGATTCGTTTCGTCGAGTCTGCTTAGCGTTAATGAATTTCAATATTATGAAACGTTTTTTAGGGACCGTTTGCCGAGACAAAGACAAAAAGTCTCCGTTACGGCCAATTTTTAAACACATATATCGTTGTCAATATACCTACATGTGCTTATTTTATGTAGTAATATAACTTCAACCGTTGGTTACTGCGATAAAATAAAAGGCCAATGTTTACGTCGCGCACAGGCCAAGTCGTGAAAACAACGCTGTACGACGACTGCAGCTGATGCCGAGTAATCACCGATACCTTATCTCGAATGCGGTTCCGAGTAGAAAACACAATATATTATACATGATAATAAAATATAAGATACGAGTTAAATCGCAGTGAAACAATACAACATAATAGCAATAATAATAATAATATTGTACGGAGAAGAAACGCGGCGGCGGCGGTGGCAGCGTCGCATAATATGAGAAACCRCGCGTTGGCGAAAAACCCGAGTAAACCGATGTAATGTCTCTCCTCGGGACGTGTACCCAGTACCCACACATACACTGCGCTTACACGCGCACGCGTTATTACACGATATGCGAGTAATATAATGTCACGTAAGTACAATATCGATACACGGCAACGTCTGAAACGCGTATTTATGTGAGTGTGTGTGAAAAATATTGTACGTAATATTATTATATTTTGTACGCCATAGTCGGTCGTGCAGAAAACTCGGCGAAACATTTGTTTTTACCTACACATTCACATAACATAATGTTATGGCATTTCAGACATTAWGTCGGGACAGCGAGTCGTCGGTCTTATATTATGCATCTACACATAATATTATTATCGTCATATTGTATATTATAGGCGGTACATACGACGGTCCCGCGGCGAAGACAAGACGACGACGACGACTAGATACGGTATGATAATAATAATATTACACAAACGGGGCACGCGGTCTATATTTCGCGCMGGTTTCCATATTTTACGACCGGAGCTGCAGGTGTCGCCGTAGTCTTGCGCCGCCGCCGCCGACGTGACGCCCGGTCCCGGTCGTGTCCAGCGGGGCCGCGAGTACGTCGTCGTGGTTATTGGTATGTGGTTACTTACGGGTAMACGGCCGTCCCGCGCCAATGATATACGCGCCGCGAAACCGCACGAAGTGTGAATAACGCCTATATCATTCCTGCGCGCGGGCCGTCTAGTCTCGACGGACGCGTTGAAATTTATGATCGTTTATTATACAGAATCCGCTGCAGTGCCTACACGACGATGATAATATAAYGCCCGAGAAGAATATTATAATATACTACACACTACCTGCGTATCATATAATATGCGTTCGATACCGTATAGTGCGACTAATACATACCGTATAATGGCATATATCAGATACAAACAACACGGGTACGCGAGTGTCCGTGAGTATCTAGTACGTATATAACATTATGTCCACTTGTGCGTGTGTGTGTGCAAGAGTATATAAGAGCATACACACATATAATATGTATATATTATATTACAGCGTTGTAAACTCGCGCATGATAATGTTGTAGACTCGCGTATAATAATATAATATTATGTACTCAGGCAACCGGTACGTATATTATTATTATTATTATTATTATTGTGTGCGCGTCGTCGACGACCGGCGCGACCAGTTGTTCTTCTTCTACTCCACTCCGCGCGGGCCGAGTGTCAATCACGCCGTGGCCGTCCGGCGCGCGCGTTATAAAAGGTAATGTAACACGCAACCGTTGTCGTCCTCATGTCTGTCGATTTATTCGCCCGTTTGATTTGTAGAACTCACTTACAACTGGCCACATAATATATCTATACCTACTAACTRGAATAGCCGTAGCCGTAAGGAATATAATATTATACCTAGGTATATAATAATACATAATATACGCGCCGAGAGAACGATAGAAGCGGGAATAATAATAATAATAATGATAAATAATATAAAGCGATCGGAATCCGGTTGGATTGGTAATGGTTATTTATTTTTATTATTTCGCGTCGTTTTCTTTCCGCGCCATCACTATGCACGACCCTTTTAGGAATTGTGTATCCACTCGGGCCCCCGGGACCGGACCAGTTTGTACTTTCCACCAGGACTTACGACAATTGTCGCATACTGAAAGGACTGGCGATCTGACACACGCACGCGCATCCAACATACACATTTATTCTGCCGGACGCGGCTAATCGTTAGCGCCGCGCTCGTCCGTCGTCGTGAAAACTCAATACAAATGATATTCCATCGCTGCACACGCACGGCCCAGCCGCCGTCACCGCCGGTCACACGAAGCGCTAACCTGGCTCAGCAGTGCACGCAAGAGGGACGGCGACGCAACGGCTGCGGATAAACGAATAATAATAATATTACGTCCGATGGGCGGAGAGTACGATTCGTGATATACCGTAACGACTGCCGCGGGCACGGTGACGGTTCGCACAACACGGCGTGCTTGGCGTTTCTAAAAATGATAACACCTGTACACAGCTGCATTGTCGAGGAGGGATTCGTAACAACGAAATTATTCAAAATTATCATCGAACGAAACGTAGGACGATGTCTGATCACGTGTTATTATAATATTACAGACGTTGTATGAATGTGCTGCAGCGCGGTCAAACACATAACCCACCACGCCAAAAACAATTAATAGAATTAACCGGTGCGATGGTGTTTAAGCGATGATTTATAAGACGTCCTCCACGCGCACGGGTAACGAAGAACATGCAACTGCAGCAATACTATTGAAATACTACGAATAACCATGCACCACCACACTCCGCAGCCACAACAAACGGAAAGATTTTCGTCGTCGTGTACACACGAAACCCGTTTTGCTTTTAATGCACCCGAAAACGGGCGCGGACAGACCGAGCACGATTCCCTCAAAATAGTTGTTTGCGGAACGATAAAATATTTACGATCTGGCTGCTGCAGGTGCCCGGGCGTCAAACTGTATAATTTATAACGAACCTTAAAAGGTATTAACATTGTTATTTTGTTTTTTATTGTTACGTTTGTCGAAACGGAAACCGATTCGTCCGGAATCATTATCGACAACGCGACGCGGTGCATCGTGTATACTCCGATCGTACAAGTCCCATTATATTTTTTATGTCACCCATAAAACTCGCGCGCTTATAATAGGTGCTATAGCCTATAATACAATATTATTATGCTTTCAGTGCTTTCACATGCGAATTATTACGAGTTGCTCGWTGGTAAAGAAGCTTTTATTGCGCGCTATAATGTGCGGCACCGAATTTTGCGTTCCGAAAAAATCCGTTAACGGTTTCCGGCCGGGTCGATCGACAATAATCGGCATTGCCTACAMTCGCTCTCACATACACACACATACTATAGCAATAACATTCAATAAACGGTAACAAGCGCGTTCGTTAGCAGCGGTCGCGCGAGCGTTCGCGCCTAACAGAGCTCACTATACAACGAAGCAACAACGCGATTCCGTGGCGTGGGCGTGATGATTTTGTACGTATATTATATTATACGGACAACAACAAAGCGATAATAGATTAGGGTCAACGTGAAACACGGTGCTGGTATAAAGCGGAGAGGAAACATAGAAGAGAAGGTAAAAAAAAATAATAATAATAATAAAACGATGATAATAATAATAATAATAAAATAACTACGTAGCAATATAAAATATACGTAACGAACGGCGATCCCGGAACAATGGTGCATTGTGTATGCATGTGTATACACTCGGGAGTTTCGTACCGCCACAAGTATTGTAGAGATAAATATTTGTATGCGGTACATTCCGGGCAAGAGTGTGGTTTTTTCATTTTTTTAGTCGACGGATTTCGCGGGGGATACCGTCTGCTCTCGTATAGTTAGAGGAAAAGTATCCCCCCCGTCGGGAGCAACACCGACGACAACGGTGCTCTTCAAGAAGATAAGCCCCTATATTATTATTATATACTCCACGGCCATAGAGAGAAAAGATAAAGAGAGAGAACGATGATAATATAGAGAGCGGGACCATATATAATATTATTATTGTCCGGTTAATGAGGCACCCGGTATTACGCCAATAAAGGAGAACTTTACTATCCATTAGCGATCGCAATCTTCGTACGACGATTGGGTCGCCGCCGTGGAGCCCATGTAAATTATACGAGAAAACGTCGTCCGCTTCGAATCTCCACCGACCTCTTATCAGCACGCCGCCGCCGCCTGTTCGATTTGAAACGCGTACACAATATACAATGGACCGTAAATCTTGAAACAAATACCTGATGACAACGACCGCCGTCGATTCCGTGTTGGTGTGTCGCCACTTATAATATGTGTTTTAATGTACCCGTTTTTTTCTCGAAATAATAATAGTAATCGATTGTAGTACTTGTCGTAGCGAACGCCACTAAATCTGTTTGGCTAAACATATAGACACAGTTCGACAGCACAAACAGACCATCACCTCTGCAGAACTTTAAAAATAAACGGTCGTGATACGATCGACGTATATATTTACCCTCTRTCCCCTCTGTGCGCTTAAAAAATATGAAACGGCGGTGTTTAAGTCTWCGGCTGCGGTGGGGCGAACGACCGTTGGGATGTGTTTATCTGGCCGGTTAGATCTGCGGWGCATGTATATACAAGATCACGCGAGATCTGAAAGATAAAGAGAGAGCCGTCGACAGAGCTTTTGTGTGTACCGGTTGGTTTGCTCGTCGCCGCCGACAAACGCGAGCGAAAAAGCAGTCGGGCACGACCCGAGTGACGGACGTCGCTACTCGACCGAAACGGGAAATAATATTAATAGCCAGACGAGAGACTTGAGTTTTTGCCATTATCTCGCCGAGGACGGTTTGCACAGTTAAGACACCAAAAATTAAAAAACAACTAGGCCCGCACAACCTATAGGATCGGCGAATGATCTCTCTGCGCCACACAAAATCTTTCCGAAACCCGAAATCAATTTTTTTTCTGCAGACGTACGCAAATACCCCCTCCCTCTCAAATCACAATAAATATAAATCTGTCAACTGTCACTCACTCTATCTGTACCTTCTTGGTAAAAGTTCCAACTACACAGATGGAATTTCAGTGACTTAATTTATTTATACTAGCTATTGGATAATTATTACGTACAGTATAATAACATTTCCTCGGACAGCGGATTAAAAATTGTTTTCGACGCATATGTATAACGCCTAATTATTTTTAAGCGAGCACATGACGTCTGCCTATAATTCCAACATAATACAACGACCTCTATACACGGAAAAACTGCAATTACTAAACATAGGTACACGCGTAATACGACAGACATGTTATATTTTCTRATAACCGTAAATTATGAAATTCCTAAATTAACTATTACATTTAAAATATATTATATATTTAATAACTAACTATTGTTCCCACGCGGAATCGTTGTTAAATCTATATTAATCGGTTTTAAAACCATTATGTAAAATATGAATATATTTTTGAACTATTATATTATGTAAATCAGGAACGTGAATCACTTTTTTTTTTTCGTTAACAGTTCTTATAACGCACTGACGTATAAATAAAGAATTCCACGAAATCACGTTTGCATAGATTATCACTGAGATAGTTCAAAGACAAAAATTGTCACTTCATCAAATAAAAAATATTATTATTATATACATTCGTGTACTCAACCGTCACGTTACAATACTATAATTCCAGCACGGTGGTAGGTTTTTTGCTTCGTAAGCGAATTAAAGAGTAGCAGCGTACGGTATGTTACAATATGATTATTTTACAATATCTGCTGAAATTATCCGTTTACGTAGACTAGTTTTTATCTAAATGTATAAATTAAAAAGACGATAAATATAAGAAGTATTTTTAGTAGGACCTTTCGACCGAGACGCAACCTCTAGTATGTTTAACAGGAGGAAAAAAATCAAGACGGTACGCTACAAATGTTTGTAACAAACGCTTACCTGGCATGCAAACGCATCGAAAAGTTCCAGGATCGTCTAGGCAGGATCCTTCATTTTTGCACGGATGAGAGTCGCACTCATTAACGTTGGTCTCGCACCGTGGCCCTGTGAAACCCTGCGGGCAATTGCAGGCGAACGATCCAGGAGTGTTGACGCAAACTCCGTCATGTTCACAAGGTGATCCTGTTGAAAGAAAAAATAGAAATTATTTTCATTTTATTTTATTAATGACTTGGTGAGGTGTACAATTCACAATAGTGACGTGTGAAAGCGATCCATCGCCATTGCCATAGTAGTGGAAGAGAGGAGTTATTATATTATACGTATAACAAGACAGTGATGAAAAATCGCTCGCCAACTCACTGGCGGCGGCAGCCAAAAATCTATTACAATTTTTAATTGACTCGTTAACAGAGGCGTGTGCGCGCCGCTGTTTGTTCACTTGACAATTTAAAAAGATGACTACGTCTTAATTACAACGTTTCACGAAGTGTAATCCATCCACCGAYCGTATACCATATTACTATGTATCCATACCACTCTCTTTCTCTCTCTTTCTTTTTATTTCTCAGTTACCTAACCTAACCGCTGACCGTACGGTCAATCACCGACAGCCCCCCTCTCTTCCTTCCAGGACCATCAAAGGTACGCACACACACACACTCAACCTTCCTGTTTCCGGACGTTGGAATGGCCCTGAAACGTCGAGGGAAACACGGATCGTGTACACGAGCAAGTGCGGACTATAGTACGCGTATGTGTGCAGAGATAAAGATCGCAACGATGTCCACACGGTCACCAATATTATCAGTCTGACCGGTTAAAACCGTGTTCGCCGTCTTCTACTATACGCACATATACTTGGACACACGTTGTACACGTGTCTGTGCAGRTTTACCTGTACGGCTGCTATACCGCACCGGAGATACGAACGCTGTATAGTGTCAACGGTGTCAACCATATAGCTGGAAAAACCGCTGGCGTTACGCGATGGCCGTACGTAACAATTTTAATTACCGGTCTCTTATCCGAGATAATCTTTCCCCTTATCCCCCACAATCAAATAACACGCACGCCATGGGAACAGGAAGCCGGTAGGCCATTGTTCGACGGCTTGGATAATGGGGAGTAAAAGAGAGAGTTAGAGATAGAGAGAGAGATAGAGCGAGCGTGATCGGGTGACAGGAGGGGATCGAGAGAAACAGGCAGAAAGAGAAAGAGAGAGAGAGACTTGAAGAGCCCTGTGACGACGGTGTGGATTACAATAATAGTACGAGTAGAAGAAGAGGTAGCTGTTCTTTTCGCCTCCATCCTCCCTCAACAGAGACGACGGCGGTGTGTGGTTTTATGTAGTGGAAATGCGATAGTGTGGGAACTTGTGATTTCGGCGGAGGATTCGTATTATATTATTTTATTATATTACGTGGTTTTATTATTATCGTTATTATTAATTTTTTATATTTTTTTTTTTTTATCATACCTTGTTCGCATTCGTTGATGTCTTCGGAACAATCGATTCCTTTGTAGCCGGAAGCACACGAACAAGTGTACGAACCGTTRATCGGACTTGTGTCACATATGGCATCGGTATGACACGGGTTAGATGTGCACGCGTCATCGAGGTGGCACAGGAGACCTGCGAAAAATGCGAACATTTCGTGATTAGTCATCGAGCAAAATTATGTGTTGTTGGCAGACAATWTATAGTTACCATCACCGGTATACTATAATATACTGTCCATCACCCGCTACCGCTGTTGTATACATTCGAAACGTATGACAAACACGACGGGTGATCGATCTACAAAATGATTGTCACTCACCGGTCTTGCCGTACGTGCACTGGCAGTGGAAGCTGCCAACCCGATCGATGCAAGTGGCGCCGTTGAAACAGGCGGCCCCGGCGCAATCGTCGATGTTCACCGAACAGTCTTGWCCGGTCCAGCCGTTTACGCAAATGCAGTTGTACGATCCCAGCGAATTGGTACACGTAGCACCGTTGTGGCAGACGCTGGGCCGCATGGCGCACTCGTCCACGTCCATCTCACACGAATCGCCTGTCCACTGGGCCGGGCACGAGCACGTGTAACTGTTCACGCCGTCCACGCACGAACCACCGTTCAAGCAGGCGTGCGGTATACAATCGTCGATGTTTTCTTCGCAGTTTTTGCCACGGAAACCTGTGAAGAAATATCAGTAAAAAAAAAAAATGTGTTAAACAAACTCGATAATTCGACTGATCAGTTAAATTGATTCAGATAATCAATAAATTACAAACGACCCGAGGTACTCTTTTTCGCAGGACAGTACTCTTTTTAACAATAGTGTTAAGTACATGAAATTGTACACTTTTAAAAAAAAATTTAAGCACACATTATAAGCTAATACGTGTCTATGTGTTTTTACTGTTTTTTTATAATTTTATTATTAATTTATATTTTATGGTTCGGCATAAAGCATTGTTATTGGTTGGTAACACTAGTTGGTAGCATGTTTAATTTTAATTTTTAATTCAATTTATTATCTGTTTTGTTTTAGCAGTGATAGTGACTATTTATTGTCATGGATATTAGTGATATTACCACCATTTAGAAATTTACAACAATGAACATAACTAACATAACTGAAGATAATTTTAGAAAATTTTGCACTTGGTATTTTTACCTTTAAAAAATAATTTATACTTTAGTTTAAGTTTACTTAAAAAATCTTAAATTTAAAGTATTTTCATCTTAGACAYACACGAAATTAGTTGACATAATTTCAAATAATAAGTTTTAATTGTTGATAATAGGAAAAAAAATAGAGTAATCAGATAAAAAAACAAATTATATAAATGGAGATGACCTATGGCAACTAATAGCTATGACATGGGCAAAATGGGTAGAAAAGTACACACATTGGTTAATTATGAGTTATGACAGAGGAGGACCTAAGTTTTAAAATGTACTTTTTTTTTGGATTTTTATATCTGGTCACCGTATCTATAATATGTATCGCAGAATCGATGACAGCATTATAACGTATAACSACAACGACGAAGCGGCGTAATGGATCGCTAAACAATATTCAGAGGCGTGGTAAATGTAATTCATTATGCATGTAATAATAATTATTATTATCAAATCGATCGACAACTATATGGTCGGCGCGTCGACACGCAAACATTGCTTGGTGTCGTACTRTCGTCATGTCGGCGCGTAGGTGGGCGAGAAACCGGTGTGCGAGTCCCGACGAGTGTAAAATATTATCATTTTATATTAAATATTATGCTTTAGATATTATGATAATATTATGTACGTATAGAGCGACGGACAGGACGACCGATACAGCGTAAAATCGGTACTTTAATCGATTCGAACGTCATTATCTGGTGGAATCGCGTCCGATAGATTATTTCGTTTTGATTTTTTTTCCACACGAGCGAATCTCATTCGCGTGGGCCCGTCGACCCACCACACATCGATTGATATAATATTATACATAAATGCGGACGGTGGCTGTGCGTAAGTCATGTACACAGATATATTATTATTATTAAAGCGACTACTGTGGCGCAATAGAAACGGACGAAAAAAATGCGTGCGGCGTCGAGACGATCCGTTAGACGAGTGTCGGACGGAGAGCATTTAAAAAAAAAAAAAAAAATAGTTACGAACGTAGGTATATTATAATAACATGTAGGTACGCAGATATGTATATTATTATTATTATTCTCCGGTCACGATTACGGAGATAAAAACTCGGCGGATCGGCGGCGAGTCGAATCGGATATAATATTATAATGTGTATGGGCGAGGGCTCGGGCGCGTGTTCGTAAGGTAAGGCACCTATATATATATATATATAATATATATACACAAGGCGAAGGTATATACCATGCGCGGCGGCCAAAGCGATCCGTTAGCGGGCTCTGACACGGCGGACAAAAGGGGCGGCGGTGGGGCGGTACAAATAATACGAACGACTTAATAACGTCGTCGACAGATGTGAAACGATATTATATATTATGCGAACGATCTCGTGAGATGCTGCAGCGCGTTACACAGGCGGCGAGACGCGTTGCTGAAAGGTACGAGACCGCCCGAACCGTCAAAACGCTCAGTCGTCGTCGTCGTCGTCGTCGTCCGATTGACGGGACACGAGAGGTCTTGTAATGCATTCATGGGTGTATGTGTGTGTGTGCATGTGTGATCGATTGTAATGAAAAAATAATATATACATATTATTATTATTATTATTAAATTTCGATCGACATCRCGCGGGCTTGCAGTTGAACAAACACTGCCGACTTTGCGCGGACGGACGGACGCGCTCCACTGTTTTTACAACTCGAGTACACACCATTAATCTCGTCCGACAATGCACCAAAATATACGGTCGACGCCGTTATATTGTGACCGACGTAACGCAATTTAGCCCGGGATGTTTATAGTTTACGGATAATATGATGATACCGACGACAAACCATTTCTTTGTACTCGCTAAATGGAGAAAATGAATTACATTTTTAATTTGTTTTTTTGTTCGAATTCCTATTCTCCTCGCGGTATACTATGGAATTGTGATGTCTCTGGCCCCTGGGAAATATTTGTTTTGTAAAACACCCACGCGGGCGATTTTTCATTCCTGCAGAGATTTATATTCCATTTTGRCTCAACCGGCGACACGTCGATTGATAATAATAATAATAATAATGATATAATTCGGGGTCAACGATCCAAATGCACCCATCCCCCCCACACCAACTACGTCACCACCAAGGTGGATATCAAATGTACAGACGCAGGTGACGAAACCGGTCAATGCGCGAATATTTTTCAACATTGATTTTTAATGTTAATCTCGCGTGTTCTAGTTATTKGAAAGAGTGGGTTAAAAAAAGTTTTTAAACATAAAATCAATACTAACGACCTCTCGAAAACGTCGTCAACTATTAATTCTCATGCGGACTGTCGTCTGATAGCCAGTATTTTCCCACGAACCCATTCACCGCCGAGATAACATAACCACACACAACTTCCGACAAATATCCACATTATTGGCGATTAAAAATTAAATACAACCGTTACAGCCGGAAACTATTCGGATAAAACGTTATAATATATCAATCGTTATTTTGGTCTCATCGTGCGAAACTCTAAAGGTACACTTGCGCACACATGGCATATCAATATTTAGGACGTCAATAAATCACAAAACGGCGCAATGGCTAAACTYGTCGATATTGACAATAATCGATATTGTGAATTTTTCTTCATTTGTTCGTTTCGTTAGTCGCCCACCCATCGTGTAGTTATATCATTCATTCATTATAAATAGATAAATAATTTGACATCGGTTGGTACACTGATGATGTCTGAACAATATTATTATTTACATTGTCCACTGTAGGTACGTATATCCAAAGCACGTTCGTCTCGTATTTTACTCCCGGCGAGATTTAGGGGCCATTGAGCGTGCATGAGTATATCTCAACACGAGTAATAGAAGAACCCCCGTCGACTGACCCATGATGGTATAAATATCATTTATATACAGAGATACCTAATACCCAGTTGGTTTTCAGAAGATCAGGCCGTACTTAATTGTGTTACGTATTTTGGTCGAATAAACAGACATTTATAAATTATATTATGTATTACTAGGATAAATGATCGTACCCGACTTGCACTTGCACTCGTAATTGAGATCGTCGATCTGCATACACCTGCCGTTGTTCATACACGGCGACGGGTCGCACGGGACGTATACCATCTCGCAGTTTTTTCCCGTGTAACCTGGTTCGCAAATACACCTGAAACCAGAAATACAAGTTAAAGTTGTGTTTAATACATACATTACACTTCATAAACAATAATTCATTTTACGCAGACTTCTAGCCGATTTATCACTTTATAACGCGTCAGTTGCGAACCCAAGACCATATAATGTATTTGCATTAAATATATATATATATATCATGTATATATTATTTCAACAGTACGGGTAAATGGCATAATAAATACAGAACTTTTTTATTATTGGATCAAAACTAATAACATTGTAATTGCTATAAAATGTTTACAACCTATACCATAAAAYATCATTATACTAACGATATGATGAAGTATTTATTTTTAAATACCAAACTTAAGTACCCACTTATTACTTTTAGTGAAATTTAAATCAGATTAAAGGATGATTTAATTCATATTATAGTTTGTTGTAATGTAATTTATTCAAGTAACAATAGAACATAAAATTAGGAATTCTTAACATATTGTAGTTATTACATGTAGAATATTGTAGATAGATACATCTAGTTTTTCCCAACAAAAAAATTACGAACAATTAATAGTGCCTAATAATAGAGTATAATTATTACTACGTAAATACTTTTAACGCCTCCACAAAACTCTGTATTTATAATGCATTTTTTTTATTTTAACGGAGAGGCGAGTTTATTGTTGGTAAACTGTGTTTTTTTTGCGTATTTTATGATAGAACAACATGGTCCCGAGACAATGGGCCAATTGTGTATAGTCGCACTGAATGGTTGTTCCTAGCTAAAAAATCGTGTGAACCGAAAAACGAAATAGTATAAAAAATTCAAAAAAATTATCGCTCGTTTTTGCACACAAACAACAGTTGTGTAGTATTGTGTACGAATTTGGCGTGGGCGGCTATTTCTTATCATTTGGTATGACAAACAAAGTAAACAAAAATTTAAAATAAAAATAATACACACACACAGAAACATAATATATTACACTATATATTGTAAACAGTATACACTGCTATAATTGTCCCACGACAATGTCCTGCTATATGTGTTTTTTTCTCTAAGTATTTTGCTATATTTTTTTCAAAAACGGTACAGACGTAACCTATGGCCTGATTTAGTGAAACCTTAGCACACAAATACGCCAAAAACATCAGTKTCCCAACAACACTGGAATTTTGCAAGAACTGTATACACTTTAAACTATATATATTATATATGTGTGTGTTTGTGCATGTGAGTGACCAGTGAACCGAAACGCGTCCGTGTAAAAGATTAGATGACCGAAGTCTAGACAATATCGCGTGCTCTATCGTTTTTAATATATTTTATTATTATATGTATATTATTATTGGTCGGAGCGTTAAAAATATACTCGGATTTCCTGCAGGCGATTCGCGTACACACGTCAGTGAAGCTGTTGTGTACGCTACTTTAAACGTTGTAAAATATAAAATATGATGTTTTTCCTTGTGCACGAGGTATGATGCATATTGTATATAATAACATTATATATATGTACAWAAATATTGTTTTCAGAGAAACGGGGGAGGAAAAAATAAAAACTAGCTCGCGTGGATCATTATGCAGTTATATGGTCAAGAACGCCTACGGAAAAGAAATAATTACACGTCCGCGGACGACTTAAAAATTATGGACCGTCGGTTTGCGTGCGTTGAATTTTTTTTATATGCGCACGCACTCACACTCACGCACACACACACACACAAACACATGCGTATGCATATGCATATACACGACCAGAATGTTTTTTCGTCTACAAGTTTTTCATCATTTTTGATTTGAATGTTCCTACTCGAATAAACATATTATAATATACTAGGAATTCTTATAAGCCGGTTTTTTTTTATTTGCGAGGGGTTTTTGACTCTAATTAACGTTATCCACCCAAATGTACCGGACGACAGAGGTTATCGTCTATCTCGTCGTCGGTTTAATAATAACAACTGGATGTAATATACATAAACTACAGCGACAATATTTATTATATAATATTATTATCTATGCACTCTKCTTAGGTGCATACACTACCTACTGTGCCTAATATTTTATTTTCAAAAAACGTTAGTTAATCATATCACCCGTGCGGCTGTGCGGTGTATTCGGTGTCACAGCGCGACGAAACCACGGGCATAAAAAATAATAACTAGTTTTCGAGAACAATATAATACATAATTATTACAATATACTTACGCATACGATCCATGTGTGTTGATGCATTGTCCGTGCACGCAGGGTTCGGTTGTTGAACATTCCTCAATGTCTTCGGAACATGTTGTGCCCGTGAACCCTGGGGCGCACGTGCACTCGTAAGAATCGTCTTTAGAGGTACATTCTGCTCCGTTCTTGCACGGTCCCGAAGCGCAATGATCCTCCAACTCACAATTAGGTCCTATGACACAAAAAWTCATCAAATKCGTTAATCGAATGTCATTCAAAAGGTTAACACTTAAAGAAATCTTACACGATTCAGTTAAGTATGTGAAATTCACGCAGTTATATCGAAAACTTAAAAACAACCATTTGGATAAAACTGGTCAATGTCCATAATAATATAGGAATATACAAATTATTTTAATGGTGAGATAAACCAATTGACACAGAATGTCTAATTTCGAATTAATTAATTAATTACTATACATATGTATATTACACACTTCTTTATTTGTAACTGTTTTCTAGAKAAAACTSAACATTAATTATGACTATGAYTATTGTCAATACGTCTAGACAAAAATAGGTTTAAATAATGGAAACGAGAAGTCTGCAAAAGAATAGAATTTTGAATTATATACAACAATATTTTTTGTAAAATATYCGAGAACATCGTTTATTAACTTAAATTAATATTAATTATTTATCTGTCTTCAAAGACATTGCATGATTTAGAGCTAGTATATATAACCTACATATAGTATAGTTGTGTGATATACTCGTTATATGATGTGTTTGATTTCTATCCGTTTATGCAGTACCAGAATAATGGCTTGAACTCGGTTTTCATAAACAACGAACGTTATAAAAATATGGACAGTTTATTAATATATTTATATTTCGTGTCGTGTAGAGAAAGTAGGCAGACAATGTTATACACATCGTCAAACTGTTAACAAATCTCAGAACGGGTAAAGAGGATGCGCCAAGCGAACGCGGTCGGTTATCGCTCATTAACATATTAAACCTATAATATGCCTACCTACTATAYCTATACTCGTGTCGTAGTATAGGGTCAACATCAGACGTTRGGTAACCACCACAAGTGCACACATATATGCACATTGCGCATCACACATTCGTCGAATACGTCATCCATTATCGTTTGCTTAAAATATACGTGGTTAACCCCACCTCCCCACCACCATCACCACTCCTGTAAGGGTTGACCCGCAAAGAGAGCGGCACAACGTAAATGCAAAATGTGTTTTCGCGACCAGTAAATGCGGCGCACAACACGTAGTGTCGTGGAAATCGATTACGCCGGAACTCCAGAGATGACGGCGGTTAAGCACATATAAAAATAATAGCTAGCTAGTAGAAAAAAAAGAATAATCGTTGTGCGCAAGCGGTTTTGTAAAGGTAATATAATAGAAATAACCGAGAAAAATGACCGACGGTATAACACGGTGACGACGACGGCGAAGGAGGCGTAACGACGTTGTATGAACACGTACAATTTGTTAGCTCGTCGCCGCCACGCAATAAAACGTTGCACACGACATATATACTCTATTATATACATGTATAGTGATATAAATATATATATATATATACATATATTCAAACAGAGATAGATACCACTGCCGCCGCGTTATACGGTGCGAGTTTATCGGGAGGAAAAAAGCCGTGTTCACGGAATGTTTTTTTTTCTCTGCTATATATTACATTGCTATTATTTTTATTGTTTTTCCCCTTACGAGTCGACAATACGATTATCCAAGCCCGGTTCGACGATCTTCGTTTCCTATATAACGTCTATAACCGTATATAGGGACCTATATATATTACCTCTATCACAATATTATATATAGAATTATAGCCTTGGATAGTCGAAACATCTATAATCTATATGGTGACTTCGACAAAAAGTGACTTGAGATCTATATAGGTATAATAGAAGTCGGGTGATGATGACGTGTAATAATATGGGATATAACGGTATTTCTGGGCGGATCGGAGTACCTCGGGTCCACCCCTTTACGCRCCCTTGCATTATGACGGATAAGCCTGCCAATAAGCATCGATCGAACTAAAATTCGTATGTTGTAATAATATACTTCTCGTCAGATCATTCCCGTCGTCCGAGGACGGAAGCGATGTCGCATGACGATTGTCATACTGCGATCCGACTAGGCCGCACTATGACTATATGACTAACCTATTTCAAATAGTTGATTTATGACACGTTCTTGTGTTATGCATACCTGTAAACCCGGGGGCGCAGTTGCACCGATGTTCCTTGATGTTGTGCAGCCAACACGTGCCGCCGTTTTGGCATGGTTTTGAATCGCACGCGTTCGATATGGGTATCTCGCATAGGGACGCGGTGAATCCCAGCGGACACTGGCACGAGAATCCGGGCTGCGAGTGAGGCGACACTTGCGTGACGGCGCATGTCCCGGAGTTTTGGCACCGGGGCACTGGTCCAGTGTGACAGGGATTTTTCCATTGACAGTAAGGTCCGACGAACAGTCCAGTACAGCTGCAAACAGGACGAAAACACGTTAAAATCGGTTGTGTAATGAATATAATATTTATACGATGCATTTATTATTTTAGTTCGTTTTCCGGTGCGTTTCGTTTATCCAAAAGCWAGTATATATAGGTARTGCCATTAAGCCATAACCACGGTAGCTAACTCGCTTCATCTCAAATTGTTCGTTATACCATGATTACACTTGTGAGGAATGTATCGACGTCGCTACCCCCCCCCCCAAATACGATATGGGCTTTCACGATCAGCCGTGGGCAAAATGCATTTTTCGTTAAAATAGCTATATACCGTTTAGAGTCCCTTGAAGTCCCATCATATTCACAATACGCAAATTAGGTTTTCAATTCTAATATAGGTAACCTACTCGTTACTTTAAGTCCTAACATGAGATGAGGTCGCTCWCAAATGTTTATACTTTTGGTAAACGCTGCAGAAAACTCCACAGTACAGACATATCGCGTATAAATATTATTATATCGATATTATTGTTATGTTTACGACAGCAGGAACATCGATAGCGTATACAATAATACAATATATTATAATTTATAATACGGTATATGCGGTACCTATATCAACCACGCGTGTGGTGGAGATATACTACTACAAAATAATATAATACACAATATCCAATCGCGCGCGGGTGTGTGTGTGCATTACACACGTATATATCGGCCGCCCGGAGCACGTTCTTATACCCGGTCGGTCGTGTGCGTGTGTACGTGTGTGAGTGAGCGCGCGCGCGAGCGTCGTAGACAAGGAGCGGTCACGAGATGCCGAGATAAATAAAATATTATACGCGGCGGCGGCGCAGGGCGAGGCGAAGACCACTGGAAATATTGTTTAGAACAAAAAACCAGATCGTATCTCCGACCATAATATTCGGATTCGGTCGACCGGTTCCACGGCCGCCACCGCCGCAGAGAACCTCACCGCGTCTACCTCCTCGTATATATAATGTTGTATATACACGCGGTGGATCACCTGCGGGCGGCTTGCGCGTTCTCTCGCTCTCGCACTCCCTCTCTTTCTGTCTTGTTATTATTATTATTATAATCGCGACGCATCGTTATATGGGTTCGTGAGGGTTTGCGCAACACACACACATACAACCCTCACGCGCCGTATATACCCGACAACCGAGGTTTTTTAATACTTCACGTTCTACACCCACAAGTATTACACATGGTAAATGTAAAAGAACCTAAATTCTTCATCGTTCCGGGTCAAAGTAGGATTTCGAAACAATTTAGTATATCGTGTATATTATACACGTCCTATAATACAATAATTTATAATATATTGCATATACGTGTACATAATGTATAGATTGCAACAATCAAACGATGGTATATTTATGATGGGATCATCTGCAGTGAGAAAAACGATATAACAGAAACATTTATCCTCGGCAGTATACGATAGGGATACATAGTTGGTATAGCATACGATGATGAACAGTATGGTACCTGGTAGCTGGTGTCTATGGCACGGTATACTGCCGACGCGACGAAAACGAATTCATTTCCGTTGTGTCGTTAAACACAAAATCCACAACGAAAGCATACTGCAGGCTGACTGTTTTGTCCATTAGCCTTCGGGCGGTCTCGTAGGTAACTAATATATTATTTATTCCTCTCTTTTCCATTCTCGTTTTGTCGTCAAACCTGTGCCTGCGGGTCGGATTACCGCGCGGTGGCTCGCGCGTTAATGGATTGTTTCACCGACCGTGAAGAGAAATACGATGGAATAGAGACGACGGCCGACGGTCGAACGAAACGGCCTAATGATGCCGAGCCTAATATTTTAACAACAAACGATATTATATATATGATTTTTATATTTTCACCTCACTCCTCCTCCACATCCTTCTTCCGCGCGCGAGCCAGGGCGAGAGCGAGCGCACGTCCAACTCGCAGTAAAGAAAAATTATTGTGCTCGGTTTTGAACCCGTTTCGACAACGGCCGGAGACTTAAACGCACACTCATCGTTGTCGGCAGTCGGCACGATATCAAAACACAATCCATCTGTGTATAGTTTTTTTTTTTCTATCGCGCCTCACCCGTGCACCACCTGTTATTATTTTATGACACTACGACAACGACTACGAAGCACGGGTTAATATAATAGTAATACCTATGTATGAATGTACAATATATATATGCATAGGGCGCCGCCATGTAAAACAAGAAACATTCCAATAATAATAATGATCGGTCAATAACAGTACACAGGTACGATTTATATATTATTATAAATAATACAATATTTATGGTGTATGCAGCATATATTAGTCTGGCACCTGTCGATTTAAATATACGATACGACGTATCTATTTATTTTATTGTACCTAACTTATATTACATATTATATATACCTACACACATTTTGAATTGACCATAGAATATTACTATACTATAAATTACTATACAAAAGTATACAAACAMCATATTATTGTATTTTAAAGTTTTACGCAATCGTCGGACAACCCCCGTTCGGCAATATTATATATATGTGACATTAGTTCCAGATCGACGGCGTCGTGTCCGGCCATGACTTCTAATAAATTAACGACGCGAAAGAAGTGTCCGCTGACGAGAATTCGCGTTCTCCGATAATCAATTCCGACGCGTTGTCTTTCAGTCTTTGTGCAAGTATTTAAATAATATACATAAACATCATTGATCCAAACACTCACACATACTATCATGAACATATTATTATATATTATACATACAYGGTCGTGGCCAGAGACGTCACTGATAGTTCTGCCCAGTCTCGACGACAACCGGACGCCCTCTGCATACGAAATGACTTGCGCATACCCATAGCCCATATCATAGGTGCCGCGCAATAAACGTRTATTATTATATACGTAGGTACACAATATACGAGACGACGACGTACGAGCGACGAGCGTGTACGACGCCAATTTGTTACACGCACACATGCACGGTATATATATTTGCGTATGAGGACATTAAATCACCCCACACGGACGAATACCGTAAATCCCATAGAGCTCGGCTGCAATATGCAAAATACGCGCCCGTATGATTATTTTACCTACACAAACATAATATGCATAATCGTAATTCTGCTGCTGCTGCTGCTGCACGGTTACGAAAACCGGAATCCGTGTGTACTGTCCCTCGGCAGTGAATATAGTCTCTCCTCCTAAGTCGTCGCGAATTATCGACAGAGTGCCGTGTACATAATATAATAATATAATAGTCGTTACTCGTTTAGCGATCTTTGTGCACATTCAAAATGCCGCAATCGTACGCCGTGCCCAGTGCATGTTTCGCATGTGTTTAGCCGCTCGTTTTTTATTTTTATAATATGCCATTTTACCCGTCATATATTATTCATCACGCACGAACGAGTGCGCGTATAATACAMCTATCTGTTGTAGCATACATCACATCATGCAGGCATTGCCGTGTGTTAAATAAACAAAACCTTCATTATAGATTTATGACGAATATTTGCAGTGAATTTCAATAGACTCGGCGTGCACCGTTGTTGATTTTTTTTTAATTCGACGTTGCGTTGTTAAAAAATATTATCGAAAACAGTACATATCAAACGCGTGATGAGTTTATACAGGCAATAAGGATTCCCATAAACATGCTGCTGGGMGTAGATACCCATACACAACCACCACCAACAGTCAGGCCGTTGGTGCAGAAGCGCATATGGTCAAATGTCATTATTAAACTCGACCGACTGGAGCGCGTGCTGACGATGTAGCCCGCTTCAAAACAAAGAGCGACTGTCACAGTTCGTGTGTTAACGGATAAAACGGTCGGTAATATTTCGACCACATGTCTCTCTATGATGCGTACGATGTACAACTATCTATAGCAGCGATCGCAGTGCGCATAATATTCCCTATGGGCAGCTACGTACAAATAATAGCACATAACCGTCATTTCCAAACGTGTGTTGCCGGTAWAGCGCATAACATTGTATAATGAGCAGTGATGATGCAGACATGCAGTTTATCATAATAATATTATGATGTACTGCACAGTTCGTCATAATATTATTAAACCGCCAATTTTATCCGAATGCCAAAAAATTAAAATTAACCACAGTCGCCAATTAGGTATTGGAGGGGACAGGGGGACGGCCGGCGAGCGAAAAATTACGGGTGGTGGGCGTGGCCGACGGTAGAGCAAGCGCGAGCCATTCGTAAAATGGGAAAGAGACAGCGCGCGCCGTTTGTACATCTCTAGCCCGCGCTAGGTCAAAGTACCCGGACGGCGGCGGCGGCGGCGACGGCGGCGACGGCGGCAATCCAAGAGAGACCTTCGGGCTCCCGGTATTGTACCGCTGCCACTATTATTATTAGCATTCTTCTGCTATGGATATAATATAATATAGTATACACGCCTCCGGTTCGTTGACGTCTTTTACGTTTATACGCACGCACAGGTAAAAAAAAATATGTCCACAGGCCACCGCGTGTACAGTATATAATGTAGGTTTATTATTATTACTATTATTTTCATAAATAATATTATTGTATACATATAGGTATACACAATGATAGTGCTCTATTGTGACACCATCATAAGATTTTACTATATAATATCATATACTATTAGGTATACAACACCGTTGCAGTACGGCATAATGTTATAGGTACATAATATATCTGTAGGTTCGGCGCGATGCAGTGGGTTATTGTATAATGCATATTATTATTATTATTATTATTATTATTATTACAGGAGTTTCGGTATTGCACTTCGGCGGCGCGGCGGAAAACGACACACTATCTAGACATCGCGGTCGTCGTGCTGGCTCATTAGGCATACAACAATCAGCCACCGCGTGTGTAATTGCATTTACATGGCCAATTAATTAATTAACCGGCGGCGGCGGCGGCGTAGGTACCGCGAGCGCGTACAGAGCGGTGCAGCGCGCGTTGCGTCGTGACAAATACTCTCGCGTGACAGATGCTCGCCGGTTGATAAGC